GAGGAGAGGGAAAGGAAAAGAGACAAAAAGAGGAGAGGGGAGGAGAGGGAAAAGGGAAAGAAAAAAGGGAGAAAGGAAAGGATAGGATAGGAAAAGACAGGAAAAGATGAAAGGAAAGGAAAGGAAAAAGGGAGAAAGGCAAGGCAAGGATAATGTAGGAAAGGAAAGGAAAGGAAAGGAAAGGAAAGGAAAGGAAAGGAAAGGAAAGGAAAGGAAAGGAAAGGAAAGGAAAGGAATCTTATCTTTCCAGGGGAAGTTGAGATTATTTTTGTTAGAGCGATTTGATGAGAATGACTGGGGCAAATTATGGCTGGGGCAGAAAACACAGTCCTTTTATTCAGTGTTTTATTCAGAGTTTTTATTCAGAAAAATAAAAAGATGGCTGATGCTTCATCTATCATCTTTATAAACATAATAAGTAGATTTTACAAACCAGTTGTAGATTTCTCCAACATGGAGCAAACTCAGACAGAAACATTAACTTTGAACAGTCACTAAATGGACTATTGTAAGTCGAGGACTACCTGTATGTGCTGTTCCTTAAGGCTCTGAACTTCAAGTAGGAAGATCTCACAACATTGAACAACAGGACAATGCAAATGAGAGTCACAATGAGAATCTTGGAAGAGATTTCTTCGATGCTCAACAGGTCATAAAGTCTCCTCATTTTTATCCCAAAGGTGCTTTTTTCAAGAGGCAACTGGATTTTCTTATTTTTTTTCTTTCCTTTGAAGACGTTTCACTTCTCCTCCAAGCTTCTTCAGTTCTGACAGGATGGTGGGGAATGGGAGGATTTTTATTCCTTGCAGACAGCTGATCATTTGCATCCTTTTAGAGGGTCATTGAGGCCACTTGGAGGTTTATTTGTGTCCTTAGGGTCACCTGGGTTGGTGCTCCTGGCTCCTGTGATCTGCAATTTTTCCTCTAGGAATCCGTTCCGACTCCCACACCGTTCCAGGGGTGCTCGTCCCAATATTCCAGAGATACAAAGATAAACCTCCAAGCAGCCTCAACGATCCTTTAAAAGGATGCAAATGATCAGCTGTCTGCAAGGAATAGAAACCCTTCCATTCTCCACCATCCAGTCAGAGCTGAAGAAGCTTCTTGGAGGGGAAGTGAAACATCTTCAGAAGGCCATTGAAGCACTTGGAGTTTTATCTGTGTATCTCTGGATGACTGAGAATCTCGACAGACTTTTAGCTATACAATTTGGGATGGACACCCTTGGAATGGTGTAGGAGTAGCAATGGATTTCCAGAGGAAAAATTGCAGGCTACAGGAACCATTTGCACTACTCAGGTGACCCTGAGGACACAGACAAAGCTCCATGTGGCCTCAATGACTCTCTAAAAAGGATGCAAATGACCAGCTGTCTGCAAGGAATATAAATCCTTCCATTCCCCGCTATCCTGTCAGAGCTGAAGAAGCTTCTGGGACGAGAAGTGAAACATCTTCAAACGAAAAAACAAGGAAGTCCAGTTGCCTTAAAAAAAACATCTTTGGGACAACCATTATGTGGATGACTGAGAATCTCTACAGATCCACTTTAAAAAAATGTTTTTCCTCCTGTGCCGGATCAGGAAAACCTGGTTTAAGAAAGACCAGAAGGCAAGTGACCATCCGCTAATCTCAGTGCGTATTATTTGATGTTGTACAAAGCTTAACTCAATCCTTGCTCCGGAGAGACGCTGATTATCCTTCAGCACAAATGGCATGACAAGACCAGATGCCAGCTGCATCTTACCTAAGGGAAATAGTTTTCCAGGTAAAACAAAGAGGATGTTATATTTTTAATCAACCTGCAGAAAATAGGTGGTGGTCTTATTCTTCTGGGACAGCTTGGGGAATGCCTTGATTTTGAAAAAATAAGAATTGTTCTGTATATACGCTTGTACACATCTGTGGCTCAAAGCGCAGAGACCAAGAGAATGAAGAAGTGGAGAAGTTTCCAGTAAGATGGGGAAGGTAAAAGGCAAATCTGTCAGAAATTGTCAAATCCCATGGCTGGTCCTTATCCTAGAGTAGACAGACTTAGAATAACTTTGTCACTTGAAATGTACACTCGTCGCAGCAGTGGGATTCAAAAAATGTTACCATGGGGCTTGGTGGGCGTGACTTAGTGGGCGTGGCAGGGGAAGGTTACTGCAAAATCCCCATTCCCTCCCCACCCCACAAACCTGCTTTCCAGCTCCGTTCTCCTGTGTAGGGAAACCAAAGAAGACCCAGCTGATCAGCTGGGACTCAATGGGAGGCAGAGAATAGATGGGGGAGGGGCCAGTCAGAGGTGGGATTTGCCACTTCTCCGAACTACTCAAAATTTCTACCAGTTCTCCAGAACTAGTCAGAATCTGCTGAATTACCACACCTGGCTTGAATAGCCATTTAAATGTCTGTCTTGTGTGGTATTTGCCTGTTCCTCACCCCTTAGCTACATTCTTATCAGGGGAGGGGAGAGGAAGAGAAGGAAGGGGGGAGGAGAGGAAAGGAGAGGGGAGGAGGGAGGAGGAGAAAGAGAGGAGGAGGAGGAGTGGGGAGGAGGAGGACAGGAGGAGGAAGGAGAAGATGACAGGGAAAGAAAAGAGCAAAAGGAAAAGTGGTGAAAGAAAAGGAAAGAAAGGAGAGGAAAATCAGAATCTGAATAGAGCTGGAAGGGGCCTTAAAGGTCTTCTAGTCCAACCCCCTGGTCAAGCAGGAGACTATACCATTTCAGACAAGTGGCTGTCCAGTCTCTTCTTAAAAGCCCCCAGTGTTGGAACACCCACAGTGTCTGAAGATAAACTGTTCCACTGGTTAATTGTCCTCACTGTCAGAAGTTTCTCCTCAATTCATAATTTAAAAATATCAAAAATCAAAAAAGAAAGGAGAGGAGAAGAAGGAAGGAGGAGCAGAGGAGGGGAAGGGAGAAGAGAGGAGGAGGAAGGAGGAGATGAAAAGAGACAACAAGAAGAGAGGGAAAAGGGAAAGGAAAGGAAAAAGGGAGAAAGGAAAGGATGAGATAGGAAAAGAAAGGAAAGGAGGAAAGGAAAGGAAAAGAGGAAAGGAAAGGAAAGGAAAAAGGGAGAAAGGAAAGGATAAGATAGGAAAAGAAAGGAAAGGAGGAAAGGAAAGGAAAAAGGGACAAAGGAAAGGATAAGATAGGAAAAGAAAGGAAAGGAGGAAAGGAAAAGAGGAAAGGAAAGGAAAAAGGGAGAAAGGCAAGGAAATGATAACCTTTCTGACCATTCTCCAGAATGGTCAGAATCTGCTGAAGACCACCTGTGATTCATCGGCGTACATTAAAAGGAATTTTTAATTTAATTATTTAATTATTAATTATTAATTTTAATCTTGGTTTACCAATGCAGGTTGGAGAAACATTCAGGGCACAGGTAGCCCTCGACTTAACAAGTTCATTTAGTGACCATTCAAAATTGCGCGCGCCCCGGGAAAAAGTGACTTATGACTGTTTTTCACAGTTTTGATCGTGGCAGCCCTCCCCTGAGGCCACGCGATCAAAATTGCAGCACTCGGGAAACAGGCTCATATTTATGACGGTCCCCAGGGTCCCCTTTTGCAACCTTCTAATGCGCAAAGTCAATGGGGAAGCCAGATTCACTTAACGACCGGGTGAGTAACTTCACGACGGCCATGATTCTTTAACGACTGCGGCAAGAAAGGTCGTAAAATGGGGCAAAATTTCACTGAATGGTTATCTCTGGTAGCGTCAGAACTGTTGGGCTCAATTGCAGTCGTAAGACGAGGACTACCTGTAACTGGCTTGACTG